TTTTGTGGAACCAGGGATTGAACTCAGGACCTTGCGCTTGCCAGAGAAGTGCTTATTCTACTGAGCCATCTCCCCGGCCCCCTTTTAGTTCTTTATGAGGTAACTCTTACAGTTGATTTTAGCCTTCCTATTATGGTAAAAAATTTTAATTTTGTGGTACTAGGGGTTGAACCCAGGGCCTCGCACATACTAGGCAAGCACTCTACCACTGAGCTACACTGTCCGCTCCATAGTTAAGGATTAAAATATTAAACCTTTGTACTAAGTTGTATACCTAGCTCTTTTAAATTTTTTTTTCATTTTTACTCATTTGTCCACTCATTAATTCTTTTGTAGTAATGGAGAATGAACCCAGGCCTTCACACTTAGTTACATCCCCAGCCCTTCTTTATTTTTTTTATTTTTAAACAGGGTCTCACTATGTTGTCCAGGTTGGGTTTGAATTTGTGATCCTCCTGCTTCAGCCTTCCAGTGTGTAGGGATTACAGGTGTGTTCTAGTTCCTTTTTCTTAGTTTATCAACTGTTTTCTTGTTTTGGTGACTATTTCCTAATAGTTCCTTGGGAAAGGGTGGCTGAAAGTAAATTTTAAAAAAAGTTGTAAAATAAAGTTATATATTTAAGAATGTTTTTATTACAACTTTATACTTGTCTGACTGGGGATTTTGCATGTGCAGTGATGAGGATCATTGTGGCAAGTACTTTACCACTGAATCATACTCTCAGCCTCTGGGTAGGGTTTTGCTGTTGAAAATAATTTTTACTCGGAATTTGCTCTCTTCTTTTCTCTTTTCTTTCTTTTTTTCAGTCATTCTTTCTTTTCTTTTTGGTTGAGCCAAGGACTTGCTATGTAGTTCATGCTGGCCTTGAACTCACTATATAATCCAGACTGGGCTCAAACTCCTGTTGATCCTTCTGCCTCAGCCTCCTGAGTGCTGGAATTTTGCTTCTGTATTGAGAGTTTCTATTGAGAAGTCTCTTGCCATTTTGACTTCCAGTCCTTTATATATGGCTTATTATAAAATATGATAGTGCTGTATCTTGTTTTGACTTTTATTTTTATTCTTTTAATCTTAAATTTTCAGGCCTTTAGCTCTAGAATTTTTTTTTCCCCAGTCCTGGGATTGAACTCAAGACCTTGTGCTTGGCAAGCAAGCACTTATTCTACTGAGCTATCTCCCTGGCCCCATGAGGACTCTAGGAAATTTTAATATATGATTTCCTATTTTTTTTTTTTTTTGGTGGAACCTGAACTCAGGTCCTTGTGCTTGCCAGGGAAGTGCTTATTCCACTGAGCCATCTCCCCAGCCCCTCCTATTGTTTTTTCTTCTTGGGATTACAGTTAATGAGATGTTAAACCTCCTGAACTGATCATCTAATTTTTCTTATCTTTTCCATTTGTCCACTGCTTTTTCATTTTGTTTACTTTCTCTTACTGATTTGTTGTTGTTTGTTTGTTGTTTTCTATTACTGATTTTGTTTTTTGAGACATGGTCTCACCATGTAACCCAGGCTGGTCTTGTACAGTCTGTCTTCCTGCTTCAGCCTCCTGAGTCTGGAATTACAGATGTACACTGTTGCATCTGAATTACTGGGGGTTTTTGGGGGTTTTTTTGAGCAACCGGGGATTGAACTCAGGCCCTTACTGAGCCATCTCCCCAGCCCCTGTTTTTTTTTTTTTTTAAAGTGTGGATATTAGATCCATTTTATTAGTGAGCATACAAAACCCTTTGTTCATAGGGAAAGTCCTGTCCCCCCTCTCCAGGGAGACAGATGTGTCTCTTCCACAGATACCACATTTTTCTTCTCCGGGTACTTCCCACAATGATTAAAGTGTTTATAGAGATAGATCGAAGGAATGCTGGTGGCACAGTATAATCCCAGCAATCTGAGAGGCTGAAGCAGGAGTATCATAATTTTTGAGTCTAACCTAGGCAATGTAAGATCCTGTCCCAAAATTTTAAAAAATTTAAAAGGGCTGGGTATATAGCTCAGTGTGAAAAATCTTGCGTTCAATCTGTGGTGCCATGATTGATTGAGAGATAGATAGATAGATAGAGAATTGAATGCAGTTTAGTGTGTGTTCCAGAAACATTGAACAAAAGAATTGGTCAGTATTCTAAAATCATTTGTTCATTTTACTATATCTGGTAATCAGAGCTGTTCATATTAGTCACTATATTAGTCATAATTTTATCTTGAGTGAAGTATATTTCTGGCACAAGTATCTTTAATGGAAAAAAACAGGGTGTTTTTTTCTCCACTAATAACCCGTAGAGGTAGCATATTGGGAAATCTTAAATGCTGCCGAGTGTCAGGCCTCTCAGCTGGGCTCTGGTATCCAAGACCTAAGGTCCCACCTCTCCATTTGCTTGGTTATCATTCTTTCTCACTCTTTGGATTCTCTCTCCAAGCCAGGGTATAAGATTAGATATCTCCTTGCTGTCATTGAAAATAAGCTCACTGCACAAATAATAAAGGTGAAGGACGTTACTAGGGTTAAATCTAGAGTTTGGTGTGGTTTTTTTTTTTTTTTTTTTTTTGCGGAACTGGGGATTGAACTCAGGCCCTTGCGCTTGCCAGGGAAGCGCTTATTCCACTGAGCCATCTCCTGGCCCTAAATCTAGAGTTTTAATTCCTAAATCTCTAGATTAGATGACTGTAGTAGACTCCTTTTGAATTTCTTTTTTCTGATTTTATTGTTTTGGAGGCAGAGAGAATATTAACCTCCCTGACCCAAGAATGTAGTAAAAGTATACCTCTTCTCAGCCATAAAGATAAAATCAGATTTCCCATTTTCTTGGGTTGTTTGTGTCTGGACATTCTGTCTGAACTTCACCAGAGTGCTTATTCCATCTAAGAGTGGTTCCATGTGGGTATTTGCTTCTGGTGGGATGTTAAAGAAAACATTATCAACAACTTGGCCCTATGCTACCAGTTAGAACTAAAATGTTCCCTGGAAGCAAATTACTATTGTCTATAGCTTTTGTTCATCTGCATGATGAATTTCAGACCCTTTGGCCAAAGATTTGTAGTTCACAAGATTAGCCATATTTCTGATTTTGCTTACTGAACTAATTAAGAGCCTTGTATGTGTCAGTTCTTATGTAGGTACTAGGATTTATGCTACAACACAAATGTCGTGTACCCCATGTTTCTTATTGTATAATCCACAAGGGAAAAATGGATAAACTTAAACTTACTCTTTGTTGAATGATGCCAGTGCTCAAAGCAGAACTTGATGCATGCTTGGCAAGGGTTGTACTACTAAACCACAGCCTCAGCATCAAGCTTCTTTTTTAAAATTATTATTATTTTATTGTACATTTTAGGAGTATATAATGATCACATTCATTATAGGGACTTTGTAGCTGTACATTTTATTGATTCGTTTTTTCCATTCCCCTATCTTAAAGTCATATATCTGTGCTTTTGTCATAACCCTAGCTCCTTTGAGGTTTATGCCTCTTTTGTGCTTGTTTTTTTCTTTTCTCTCCCACATCCTTTGTATTTTTATTTTTAGTTTAGTTTAGTTTTTTGTACCAAGGATCAAACTCAGGGCCTTGCACTTGCTGGGCAGGCACCTATGCCACTGAGCTCTCTCCCCAGCTTTATTTTCTCTTTGTGAAGATTTGAATAAGTAGTTCAGTCTTATTCTCCTTTTTATTATCATTAGCTTGTCTTCACTGGGTTTGTGTTGATTAAGCGATTGATAGACTAGCCTTCTAATTCTTTGACCTTTATCCCATCAGCTTTCATTTCCATTTCATTCCAAGTTCTTCAGCCCCTTCATTTTTCATCTTAGTTTGAATCTAGCCTAATGAACATGATTTGACCCTTCATTTATTTCCTTTCCCCATTGACCTTATATATTCAGAGCAGTCCTAACTTGAATCAGCTCAGTTGTTAGTGCTCAGCTTTTCCTGTA